AAATGGATGCAATTAGAGACCATACTCATAAGTGAAATAAACCAGACCCACATGTGTAAACATCATAATGTCTCCTTGGTGTAGGAACCTGAAAGACTAGGTAAAACCCAAAACATACAATAGATGATAGGAAAGGGAAAGAAATTGCTCAAAGGAAGGAAAGACTGGGATGAGGGAAAGAAGAAAAAAGAAAGAAGGAAGGCAAAACATAAATATATATATATGAATAGCTGTGATGACTGTATTGCTGATGTCTGATGGTGTATTGAAATGAACAGTTAATGCTCACAATTTTTTATGTTCTGATCGGCTTTGCATGCGTGTGTCTGGTGGTCTGAGCAACTGATTTGAAGGTAATAATATGCAATCGAATTATAATGGTGAACTCCTACCGTCTTGTCTAGTGAAATTCTGTATTATCTCTAAGGTTTTATTGAAGAATTATTTTCTTATTCTCTTTAATGGTTTGAGCAATCCTTCATTCTTACATCTGATAATCTGAGTAATGTAGTTGAGGATAGCAATATGCAATGTAACAACCACTGTTGATTTGTATGAATTTGTCTTGACACCCTGTATCACTTTGAATGTTTTTGCTTTGATTTGTTTATGTTTGTGATACTGGTATGCTGCTACTATTCTATTTTTTTGCTTGTTTGTTTCTCTTGTACTACTCTCTTTAAAATACAATACAATAAAATAAAATGAAAGATAACCTCTTTATTAAATGGTGCTGGAAAAATGGACTTTCTACATACTGAAGACTAAAACTAGACCCATGTCTATCACCATACCTAAACTACAGTCAAGAAATCTACCAATAATGAATGCTGGTGAGGCTGACGGTAAAAAGGAACCCTTCTCCACTGTTGGTGGGAGTGCAGCCTGGTGCAACCATTGTGGAAATCAGTGTAGAGATTCCTCAAAAAATTAGGATTAGTGATTCCATTCGACCCAGCTATTCCCTTCTTGTATTTTCACAGATTTTAAAACATCGTACCACAGCAATATATTTGTACCCATGTTAGTAGTCACACAATCTGTAGTAGGTAAACACTGGAAATAACCCAAATGCCCATCAACTGAGGAATGGATAAAAACGATGAGGAATGGATAAAATATATGTAGTATTTTTACAAAATGGAGTATTAATTATCTATAAAGAAGGATGAACTTGAGACTTTTATAGGTAAATGGATGCAATTTGAGACCATACTCATAAGTGAAATAAGTCTTGCAAGTGTAAACATCATATTGTCTCCCTAGTGTAAGAAGCTGAAAGAGTAGATAAGATTCGAAATGTACAACAGATACTGGGAAATGGGAAGAAATTGCTCAAAAGGAAAGGGAAACTGGGTTGGAGGTAAGGAGAAAAGAAGGAAGAACAAAGGAAAAGCAAGGTGTATATATATATATATGACAGTTAAGATAGCTATACTAATTTCTATCTGTTCATTGAAAAGAAAGGTTTTCACTCATATAATTTGATCAGTTTTTCATGCCTATATCTAATCTGAGCAACTATTTTGAAGATAACAATAAGCAATGTTCTAACACAAGGAACCTCAAAAAGCAAAAGAGGAGATGGATGTGGAGGCTGAATCAGAAGGATTGCCATGAGTTTGAGGCCAGCTTTGGCTACACAGTGAGACCCTGTCTGAGAACAAAAAGAAAAGAAAAAATGTTCAGGTTCAGGTATGTAATTTTTGTGTCACTGAGCTTGGGTTTGCAATTCTGAGTTAGCAAAATGTCAGCAGGTGGGGTCTTTTTGCTCTCTCAAGGAGCCATCCAGAAACTTATGTGTTTCCTACATCTGTTAAGTGTAACATTTTCAACTTGAGAAAGTATGTGGATGTCACGTAATACCTCATTTGCCTTCTCCACAGTTATGGGAAAGTAGGCTTTTCAAGTTCTGTCAGTGATGTAAATGCAACGGAAGACACTTTTTATGCTGCCTTAGAAATAGATTAGAGAACCTGTCACTGATGCACAGGAGCATGCTTGTTGTAAGGATCTGTTGGGTTCTTGTGCTCCAGGAAGGAATGGCAGTGAGAATAAGGAAAAAATAGACAAGAGACAGAAAGCTGGGATCAGGCGGCGGTCCTCTCTCTCCTGAGTGGAGAAGGGGAACTGCCCAAGAACAGTAGAGCATTTATTTCATACCCTTGAGAGCTTGATTACTTTCAGCCTGTCTGCCCAGCCATCAGCTAACAAGCTATAGTGGCTTGTTTACATGCTTTCAGGAGCCCCCGTGTTCTGGGACTAGCTTAGTCCTGCGCATGTAATTACTGTCCAACTTCAGCCCTCCCAACATCTCTCTCCTCTGCTCTTGAGCAAGTATTGCACCACAGACCACGAGTGTCAAACAGTATAAAACCCAAAACCCAAGTACATTTCCCACTGAGTACTTTCCAACACGCCCTTTGGCTGTCAGTACTGGACTGAGTTCAGGACCCTGCATACGTTACTCGGGTTACCTTAAATTGGAGACACAGCCCCAGTGATTTTACTTTATGTTGATCTGGGTCTTGCTCCACTTTCCACCCTGGCCATGCTATTGCAAGAATCTTACCTCAGTGTTCCAAGTGGTTGAGACAAGGGGAGCAGCACCATGCCTCACTGCAGTTTCATTTAACCAAGCATAGTAATCCTGGCACATAGCAGTGATGAAGGAACCCCTAGCATAGCCAGCCATAGTGGCACAGACCTGTCATGTCAGCACTCGAAGAGGCTGAAACAAGATCAAAACAAGATCTGCAGTCTGAGAAGTGTACTGAGACATGCTCTCAAATTTTTAAAAATATTAAAAGGTGTGCAGAATGTAGTTAGGAGAAAAAAAATCCAAGTTCGCTCTTCTGTACAATAAAAATATCAACCACACTAAAAATCTGTTCCATGCTGGACAAATCCCTTTGATTACACTGAGATGATGATATCCACCAATTTTTAAGCCAGAAAAGATCAATATCTAATGAGGACATTAGACAAGGTTGTAATTTCCATATTTTCCTCAAAAACGATTAGGGACATCTGTACTGGCATATACCTCTAGTCTCAGAAGTAATGAGGCTGAGTCAGGAGGAGTGCCACAAAGTGGAGACAAACCTGGTCTCCATATTAAGTTTAACAGAAGTCTGAACTACATAGGAGCAACCTGTCTCAAAAAAGTATATATATATACACACACATACTTTTATATACACTTTTATATCTTAATTCTATATATATATATATATATGACCTCATCAGAAGTAGAAGACTTATTTATATATATATATATATATGACCTCATCAGAAGTAGAAGACTTATTGATCTTAATTTTGCTAAGACGTCTCCTTCCCTAATGCTATTATATTGGACTCATTCTCAGATGTTGGCAGCACACAACAATTCTTTATTGTCACGCTAACAATCTGACCTCAAGAAAGGCCCCTCCGTTGTAGGTGTGGATTTCACCACCATCGCCATCTCCTCCTCTCACTTTCCTCGTCTTCCCATTTGCTCCTCCTTGCACAGAAAACTTCAGAGCTCACATGTCAGACTTTACTCCTACTACAATGTTCCTTTAACATACAGTCCACCTCAATCAGCATTTCAAGTCTTAAAACAGTACTTACATTCAAGGACTACAGCAATTATTTGAGATGCTACAACTCTACTTTTCGACTCCTACCAAACCACATGTCCATGTAGATGCCCCAGTCTAGTGATTTTCACACTGCGTGTAAGAGACAGCTCCTTCAGAAAGTAGTACTTAGCAGGAACACTTTCTCCCGTTGCTAAAAGATTAACATCCGCCCCACTTCTCTCAGCCTGCTAAACTGTACGGGAAGGCCTCACCTAAGTGGTCTCGCTTGGTGGTGGAGGTGCCACCTACATCATTAGGATGATAAATGCTTTGCACTGCTGCGTAGGTAACACAGGAGTTCATTACACGGTTGGCAAGCACGCTACCAAAGGCACTCATCGCCAACGATATTGAACACGACTTTTTGTTTCGATTTTGCTTTTATTTATTTATTTATTTAGGTCGTGTTGTTGCTGCTGTTTGTCTGTCTAGGCAGCCCAGGGTGGACTCCAGCTCCCAGCAAACCTCCTGCCTCAGCCTCCTGAGTGCTGGACTCACAGGCGCGCACCAGCACGCCCGGCAGTCCCTTCTCTCTGTTCTCACGGCCTTACTTATCACCTGTCCTTAGCTCGGCAATGTGGGCGCACGCCGCAGTTCCGGCAGTTTACTCTCAGCGCAGACCAGCGTCAGCCCGAGGAGCTCACGCGCGGCTCTGAGAACCGTGCTCCAGACCCTCGTCGAACCCAGGCACTCCAGGTCTTCCGCAGCGACGCCGCGGCCCCCGCAGCCCGCCCCCCGCCGCAAGCGGACCGGCCTCCCACGCTCCCACCGCCCCAGGGAGGTGCACGGGCCGAGGGACACGGCG